TAGACGCTCTTTTCCGGCTTTTTTAAAAGCCGGAAAAAAGCGGCGGACATTTTTATTTAAATGCCGCGGGGGATATTTAAATCCCCCGCGGATTTCCCTACGACGACTGATGAAATTTACATGCCCCTTCCGGAAAAGGGGCCAGTGTAGACGTAGCCCTAGAGTCTATGAATGTTCAGCGTGTTTTAGTGAAGAAGATTCTTTGTGAGTAGGAATAAAAAAAGACCAGAGTTGATTTGCAGACTGAAATTTACATGCCCCTTCCGGAAAAGGGGCCAGTGTAGACGTAGCCCTAGAGTCTATGAATGTTCAGCGTGTTTTAGTGAAGAAGATTCTTTGTGAGTAGGAATAAAAAAAGACCAGAGTTGATTTGCAGACTTCTCTTGCCTATCTTGCCATTTTTTAAGTGCTGCTCCTTTAAGTGCTACTCCTGTAGGCAGTGATACTCAGGCTAAATATGGCTTTTGAATGTGTCTGCTGGGGTTCTTTGCAGCACAGATTAAAATGCCCTGTGATTTAATTACTAAGCAATATATGTTATCAATCAGTATGCTTTTATGTTATTAACCAATTCTAGTGGATAAAATAATACTTGGTCAGTCATTTTGCTGTGAGAAAGTACATATAAACATAATAATTATAGAAGTCAGACCAAAGGTCCAAGTAGCCTAATATTCTGTCTTCTGACAGTGGCCAGATGCCCTATCAAATCAAATTATCCTCTGATTCACATTTGCATCTTCTTTTAAACAGAGGTTGGGGACACTGTTGCCCATCCTTCCTAATAGGTACATCAATGGCTATCTTCAATGAACTTATCTAGTTCTTTTTTAAACCCTGTTACCGTCTTGGTCTTCACAACATCCTCTCCCAAAGAACACCACAGGTTGACTGTGTGTTATGTAAAAAATACTTTCTTTTGTTTGTTTTAAACCTGCTGCCTATTAATTTAATTTGGTGATCCCTAGTTCTTGTATTATGATTAATAAATAACACTTCCTTATTTACATTTTCTCCACTATAGTCAAAATTTTATAGACCTCAGTCATATCCCCCTTTAGTCATCTATTTCCCAAGCTGAAAAGTCCCAATTTTATTAATCTCTTCTTATATGGCAGCTATTCCATAGGCCTCCTCATTTTTATTGCCCTTTTTGAACCTTTTGATGTTCCAATATATCTTTTTTGAGATAAGGCAACCTCCTCTGCATGCTATATTCATGGTGTGGGGGTACCAGGAATTTATATAGAGGCAATATATTTTCTGTCTTCCTATGTATCCCTTGCTTAGTGATTCCCAACATTCTGTTTGCTTTTGTGACTCGCTGCATACTGAGGCTGTCTACACTCATGGCTTCTTGCGGCAGACATATGCAAATGAAGCTAAGCATGGAATATCACTGAGCCTCATTTGCATAGTACTCCACCTCAGCGAGAGATGTAGTGCTAGAATTTACCTTCCTAGGTTGAATTAGGGATAGTGAAAATACAGTGCTGTGTGATTTGATATGATTGGCCTCTAAGATGTGTCCCAGAGTGCTCCACCATGATCGCTCTGGACAGAACTTTGAACTCCACTACATTTCAGCAAGGTATGCAGGAAAATCCCTGGAAACTTTTGATTTCCTATTTAATCAGCATGGAGAGCTCACTAACACAGCTGATCATGCATGCCCAGGGCTGCAAATGTGCTCCAGTATGGAGTGTAAAGGAGACAGTGGATCAAATTGCTGTATGGGGAGAAGAATCTTTGTAGACAGAGCTTCCAACCAGTAGAAGAAATACTGACATCTATGGCCATGGCATGAGGGATAGTGGCTACATTAGGGACACTAAGCAGTGCTGCATGAAATAAAGGAGCTCAGACAAGTGCACCTGAAGAAAAGGGGGGTGAACAATTACAGAGTCAGAGTCACAGTCCTTCTTCTTCTATAAGCACCACCAACATTTCTGCAACCTGCTGCCCCGTTTGGTGTTTCTGGTCAGAGCAGGTCTCATTTTGGTATTGCTCTGCTTCAGGGCTCAGAAAAGCAATTTGCAAAGTTCCATGAAAGTAGGTAAGTTCTGCAGCCAGTGCATTTCATTTCATAACTACACAACTATGTGGTCCCACCGCCCTGTGCTGCTTTTCTGGGCTCAGAAGCAGCGTTCCACCATATAAACATGCCTGACTGCCACCACCATATCTGAATTGTTCCATGCCATTGCTTCCAAATGCCTGTTTGTGTGACATAATGTTTTACTGTGTAATGGTGCCTTGCTAGGCTCTGCAAATTCATGATAATGCTCAAGGCGTATGTGATGCTCACAACAACACTATAGCTGTGCATCTGCACGAGTAACCCAGGCTTAGGAAAACAGGTGTGAAAATGATTGTTTGCCATTGCTTTCAGGGACAGAGGGAAGGAGAAGGCAAGTGCATCATGGGAGACTGATGATACGTACCCAAAACAACCCTTGAAAATGTTTTTCTCCCATCAGGCATTGGGATCCTAACACATAATTCTAACTGGCAGAAGGAACTGTGGGATGGCTGCTCACAAGGCATTGCTCTGAGAGTTGGCGTGAACCCTGGTAGTGAGGATGTGTTTTGCTGACCAAATGTGCATGGTGGGGACATGCAGCACAGACTGTGTAAAATTGGAGGCTAAAGGTCAACTTAAGTACATTTGACCTAATTTCGTAGTGTAGCCGAATGGCTAACTGGGAGAAATGCAACAATCTTGACTATAGGAACACAAACAAATCCTGCCTTCAAATAATGTCCTGGGTTGTGCAATGAGAGATGTGATTAAAAAGGATGTAGGAGAAAAGGGGTTCAGCCTTGTCTTCTAATTTTTGTTACAGAACTTGGATTTTATTTAGGCAGGGAATGTCTACTTTGTAAGTACTGCAACAACTAAGCATCTCTAGTGTAGACACTACGGGCATGTCTACATAACGGCTATTGCTGAAATAAGCTACGCAACTTGAGCTACATCAATTGTGTAGTTTAAGCTGAAATAGCTTATTTTGGCTTTTGGCGCTGTCTACACAGCAGGAAGTCCGAGAAAGAGCACTCTTCCTCTGACATCCCTTACTCCTCATAAAATTAGGATTACAGGGGTCAGAGTAAGAAGTCTTCAAGCTTGACATTATTTTGACATTATCCCTCCAGCATTATTGTTGAAATAACTGCTTGTAGTGTAGATGCAGACTATGTTACAGTAAAACTCCAATAGTCCGGCACCGATAGTCTGGCATCAAAATGGCAAGCGCTCCTGACGGAACCAGGACGGAACCCAGAAACGCTAAGGACAGCCTCTCTCACGTGGGTTACAGGAGGGTCGGGAGGTGTTTGGCTCTGGGGGAGGAGAGGGCAATGTAGGGGAATTGGGTTACACACGGCGTCCCGGCCAGCTCATTGAAAAGCTGGCCACTCAGCACACGTGCCCCAGCACCTGGAGGGAGACATGTGGCTGTACCAGGACCAGAGCATAAGGGTGGGGGTGGAGTGGGATTGGGTTACAGCAGGGATGGGAGGTGTTTGGCTCTGGGGAAGGGGAGGAGGATTGGGTTACACACAGTGTTCCAGCCAGCTCATTGAAAAGCTGGCTGCTCAGCGCACATGCCCCAGTGCCTGGAGGGAGACGCGCGGCTGTACTGGCGGCTCTGGGACCCGAGCATAAGGTTGGGAGGGAGGGGGATCGGGTTGGGAGTATGCAGTACCTCCTGATACTCCAGCATATCCGGTAATCCGGCACCACCTAGGTCCCAAAGGTGCCTGGTTATCAGAAGTCTACTGTATTTTGGAATAACATTAGTTATTCTGAAATAACATGGCTGTGTAAACATACCCTACAGTGACAAGGAGTTTTACTGTCATGTAGTAAATTCATATGCCTTCGACAGTCACGTCTATGACAAAGGAACAATTATTTTGTCTGCCTTGTGGTGTATACACTGGGGCGTAGGTTAGCTTAATTATGTGTCTTGGGGATGTTAATTTTTCACATCCATGTGAGCGATATAGCCATGTCAACTTAAGTTTTAGGTGTAGACTAGGGCTTAGGACAGAGCTACTTGGCCAATGTCCTGTTTGTTTGCAGCACGCGGCACAGTTTGGTTTTATGGGGGGCTGAACACACGGTTCACGGGTGGGAGCCAAAACAAAAAAGTAGTCAATATAATGGTCTTCTGTTGATTTGCGTTTTAGTAGTTAAATTCCTGGACTGTCATTGCTCATTAAAAGTGCTGTCATATGGGTGGAAAACTGGTAAATATTGCATTTTATTAATATCAGCAGAACTGACTTAAATGGAGCCTGTGTGTTGTGTAGTCTTGCCTTAATCTTTGTATTCATGCCTGTCAGTGTGAAAGAAGCTTTTTGCATATATTTGCATATACATTTTCATGTATATGCAATCACAGTTACGTTGTGGCCCTTGGCATGTGCTGTGAGTATCATTGTGGCCTCCAGGCTTCCAAAGTTGAGTAGCCCTAGCTTAGGATCACATTTTGGGTGAATATGTTTCTCTTAGGTCATGTTTACACTATGGCTACGTCTAGACTGTCATGATTTTCCGCAAATGCTTTTAACGGAAAAGTTTTCCGTTAAAAGCATTTTCGGAAAAGCACGTCTAGATTGGCAGGACGCTTTTCTGCAAAAGCACTTTTTGCGGAAAAGCGTCTGTGGCCAATCTAGACGCGCTTTTCCGCAAAAAAGCCCCGATTGCCATTTTCGCAATTGGGGCTTTTTTGCGGAAAACAAATCTCTGCTGTCTACACTGGCCCTTATGCGCAAAAGTTTTTCGTCAAAAGACTTTTGCCCAAACGGGAGTAGCATAGTATTTCCGCAAAAACACTGACAATCTTACATGAGCAACTGCTTTTCCGGAAAAAGTGGCCAGTCTAGACACAGCCTATGGGGCTATATTGTGCTGGCATAACTCCAAAATGTAGATGCAGACTACACCAAAGAAAGGCTTTTTTGTTTTGGTGTTGGAACACTACCCCTCCCTTAGTGAAGCTAGCTCAACCTACATTTTAAGTGTAGACCAGGTCTAAAATTAAGTGCAGGCCTAATTGCACTGTATAGCTGCAGTTCAGTAACTTAATTGATGTTTTATCTGTGTCACCTAGTGGTTGTTTTCTTTCTTTACATGTAAAATGGGGGTAGACTAAAGTAGCTTCCTTTGTTTTTTCAAGAACAAAAATGGAGTGAATGTGGAAATATATGGTCCATTGCCCAAAGGAAATGTATGAAAGCTGTTTGTGTGTCCTATATGTTGGTAGCCTAAAATAAATTCCTGCTTATAAATATTGTAATGAATTTGTTCTTACTAAAAATATAGAGTTTTACAACCCTTTACCATTGTCCTATGGTCCAATTTCTTATTTCAAAATAACCACTTTACTCATTTTTATAATTTTGGAAGCTATAACTTTAGCTTAACATCTATCAGATATTGCTTTTGGGACTTGTAACTAATCAAAGGGAAGGCAAAAAAATGTCACGCTCGAAAAAACACCCCAAAGTAAAATATTTTCAAGTGAGGATTCCTACTCTTCTGTCTTCCAAGGCTCTCCCTCCCTAACTCCTCCTTTGATAGTAGGGATATTAAAATTAGATTAATCAACTAATCGAATAGTTGATGTAATTTCCATTGACTATTCGGTTAGTCGATAAGGGCGCATCCACTTTGAAATGTAGCAAGAGCTTGCCCGGCTGTTGCTACATTTCAAAGTTTGAAATGCCTCCTGGAGTCTGGCTCCATTCAGCACTTCCGCTTCGAAATGTACAAGAGCCCCAGCCGGGGACTCTTGTGTATTTCAAAGGTGGAACGCCACTGCTGCTCCCCAGGCCCCTCTCATAGAGCTGAAGCTTGGGGGAGAACTGACTATTAAGCTCGCTATCCCCATCACCCACTTCTCTTTCTCCCCTTGCTCCCTCTTTCTGATAGAGGCAGCAAGTGGGGGGAAGCAACTAGTCAACTAATGTGTCAACTGTCCGATAAGCTTTTGCTTGTTGGATAGTCGACTAGTGATTAGTCACTTACATCCTTATTTGAAAGCAATTAAATATAATTGTATGGAGTTGCTACTGAAATAACACAAGTGTCAGTTCTTGCTTGAGGTTAATTATTGTAAGATGGTTACTTTCTTAGAAATTGATCATGTCTCTCTGCAGTGTCTGAATAGTTGGAATCCCATCTGCAAAAAACCCCATTCTTCTTTTTCCTGCTTTCAAATCTCCTGCAAGTTAAAAGTAAGCAGGGAAAAGCTCAAGGTACATCTGTTCAGTCTTATATTTAACATGCCTTTTTGTCAAACAAATCTGGCACTGGATGAAATAATTACCTCCAGACCAACCATTGGTCAAGGTAAGGGAAATGAAGATGACAAGTGCCAAAATGCAAAACAGGGTGGAAAAAAGGGTCCAGATGAAACAGTGGATCCTGCCAAATGCCCTAGGACCACCTACAGAGTGAAACTGGAGAAGAGAGTCCTCAATTAACTATGTTTGACTGGAAAAGTCCCATTATGGCCAAGATCTGGTGCCCAAGAGACTACTTTAGGCTTGATTTACTGGTTGGGCTCCTTGTTCTATAAA